TGAACCATGCATGACAAAAGCCAAATTGTTTCGACCAAAGGAGAGTCATATAATTATGTTAAGTGATTATTGAAAATAATGAAAATTAATTACTTAATGATCATAAGAAACAAAATAATTAATGATCTTCATTTTCCTCACATACAATTAATTAATCTACACAAACGGGCGACATGTTCGATCATTCAACAATATAAATGCCTAAAGCTTAATTGATACCCGTTGAAACTAACAAGTTGTGATGAGAAAGTGAAGAAAAAAACACCAAAAAGAAAGAACAAATATTTTTCTTCCCTTTGATTCAGATTCAATTCAATCTTCTGCGACTGATTATAAGTATCCGTGTCGCGGATTTCAAGCTCTATTTTGTATCTCCATTAGACTGCAAGGACCCATCTTGCATCAGCTTAAGGCTAAGACTCTTAAACCGGTCCCTCGAGTACTGCCTCGAAGCTTTTCTCCAATCCGTTCCCGTTTTCATCATCGTTGTAAACTCTTCATAACTTATTTTCCCATCCTGCATAACATTTCGGTTCAACAACATCAATTTTTTTAGTCTTTTTACACGTTATATATGAAAATTTTACACTACAACACTTATTTTCTCAAATGAGTCTACTAACCTTATTGGTGTCGACATCAAGGATAATGGCTTCGACAACTTCTTCACTAGTAGTGTCAATATCATCTGCCAAAGCATCTCTTAATTCTTGTATTTCTATATAACCACTCTTGTTTTTGTCGAAGAACGTAAAGGCTTCCTTTAAGTGCTCGTCGTTGCCTAACTTCCTGATGTGTACCGATATGGCTACAAATTCATTGACGTCTAAGTATCCATCTTTATCAACATCTCCCTGTTATAACAAACCCTCTATAGTCAAATGCATTGCGTGCGAAACTTTAAATTAGTAATTGCATAAGAGCTTACCGCGTCCATCAATATTTGAATGTCATCTTGAGGAACAACAATCCCGAGTTTCTGCAATCCGATTCCTAGCTCGTTGATGGTAATCTTCCCTCTATTGCTTGTGTCCATTACTTGGAATCTTTCTTTTATGCAAGATGTTTCTTCAACCGATAGATGCTCAGCAATAACCTATGGAAGGAACGTAATAAAAAATCTCAAGCTCCTTGAACGGTCAACAATGTCTTCAAGAGAAGAGATTAGTACATACCCTGAGTGCCCTTTTCTTGAGCTTGTTCATAACAGAGAATTGCTTAAGCCTTGCTCTTACGGTTTCACCCAATGATACATTGGAAGCATTCTTACCATTCTGTATCCACGGATGATCTATAAACCAAAGATGATTTGATCAGTCTTAACATTGATTTCATATGAGCACCAAAAACAATTGCATTTGAAAGCAGAGATTATACCAAGCACTTGTTGAGCTGTTAGACGACGCCTTGGATCTGGATGAAGCATCTTTTTTATCAGATCTTTTGCATTACCAGAAACTTTCGGCCAGGGGTCTCTTCTGAAGTCGATCACAGATCGAAGAATTGCTTTCGCGACTCCATGTTCGGTTTCTGAAAACAAACAAGATAGAAAAGGCATCACTACCTTTGTATGATCCTACAAAAACTGACACAAAACAAGTGATTTGACAAAACTAAACCTGCCCAAAAAGGTGGAACACCACAGAGCAAAATGTAAAGAATCACTCCTGCGCTCCAAATGTCGATTTCTTGTCCATAACTCCGCCTTAATACCTCGGGAGCCATGTAATAAGGACTCCCAACGATTTCGTTAAATCTCTCGCCTGCAAACAAAACATTAGTGGGTTAAAGATTCCTTCCAATTCCGCCGAAACCAAGTATCAAAGATGATAATACATCACCTGGTTTAAAGAAAATAGAGAGACCAAAATCAATAGCCTTCAAAGATGCAGTTTCCTTCTTGTTTGCAAACAAGAAGTTCTCAGGTTTTAAGTCTCTGTGCATGACTCCATGCTTATGGCACATCTGTAACACATTGAATAAACCACATTACTCTAATAGAAACCGTGCCTTTCAAGCAATGTTACAAATCAATAATGTCCAACAAGATTCATAGATAAAAATTTCACAAACCTGAACAACCTCGATGATCGTCTTAATAACCGAAGCAGCAGCTCTCTCCGTATAATGCCCTCTAGCAACAATCCTATCGAAAAGCTCACCGCCTTCACAAAGCTCCATAACCAAATGAACAGCTTTATCATCCTCATAAGTCTCTTTCAAAGTAACAATATTAGGATGCTCAGGCATTTGCCTCATGATCTCAACTTCTCTCTTAACGTCCTCAATATCAATCGACGTTTTCAGCTTCTTCTTTAAAATCGATTTGCATGCGAAAATCTCTCCGGTCTCAATCTCGGTGCATAGATACGTGACCCCAAACTCTCCTCGACCTAGCTCACGACCTAATTTGTATTTCTGCTTGATCTCGTGACCCGTTGGTTCCTTCAACACGATAAGCTTCAGGCCATCGTGGTGGTTACCGTAATCGTTTGAAAAAGGATTTGGCAATTTAAAACCTTTCTTCTGTTTATCGTTTTGAATCAACGATCCAGCCGTTCCACAACAATTCCCCATTATACAAAATGTGATAAATCAAATAACCGAATAAAAAATCTTCTTGAAAACGTGAATAAAGGAACAAGAACCCTAATAAAATCCCTCCAAAAGCTTAGGGGAGATAAAGAAACCTAGAAACAGATTCAGGAAAAACTTTGGGAAAGCCTAGTAAGTTAAATGGAATCAGAGGATATTTGACTTGGAATCTGAGAAGACGAAACGAATCATATCAAAGGGTTCTTGTATTTATTTAAATATGCAGAAAGTTTTAAAAAGATTGAAGTCAAAAATTACAGAGAGATATGGAAGGAAGTTTGTTTTTTTGAAAAAAGCACAAATTCCTTCCCTCCCTAATCTCTCTGTTTTTTCTTGTTATCCTGTTTTCTGTTTTTTTTTTTTTAATATAAATCAGATATGGCTTACTTTTAATAATTTATTTTTAGTTTTTTTTTTTCGTATTATCAAAGCAATTCTGAAAGAAGAAAAAAAAATCCCAATTAAAAGAACGATTTTAGGATTAAGATCATCTTATGTTTTGATATGCGGATTGTCCAATGAGAAAACAGAATTTTTGCTTAAATCAGTTACATACTTGCATAATTTTTTTTGTTTGTATATGAAACATATAGTGTTTCCTAACTATTTCTTTTCTAGTTCTGTAGATCAGCATTTGTGGTTTAAACGATTGGTTTGTAAAGACTCTTTCATTACTTAATAAAGTATAACAGTTTGCAGGAAGAAAAAAAAAAGCTAACAAGCGTGATGTGAAATTTGCGGTGGTAATCATTTGTATAAAGAAAGTTTAAATGTAGCGGTCTACAACTCTTAAACCAATCTTGATTGGTAACCCTCCGGATTTACCAATATAGAGCTAAAAATAAATATATAGTAGTTTTTTTTTTTCTTAAGCTTTACAGCGATTCTCCTATGATTTTTAATGCTTTACAGCGATTCTCCTATGATTTTTAATGCTACAACATTTGATGACATGCGAATTTGAAAATTTGTAACTACCGAAATAATTATAAGCATTGTGTCTATATTTTTGCTTGTCATAATTTTAGTCGTGAGAAATGGTGATAGATAACAATATGGCTACAAAATGTTGTTAAAAAGTCCATATACATTCCATTCGTGTAATTATGCCTGGAAGCTCTATATTCATTAATTTGTTTTTGTCTCCGATGTGGTAAACAGTAAACTAAACGTATGTAGATAAGGGCCATAGATTCTAAAATCCATTGTTTGTTTCTGATGAATTAGCAATACACTTTAATTAGTGGCATCCGATGAATTGGCAACTTATCGCTAAGTCAAATTAACAAAGAAAACATCAGTTGCATTTTGTTGTTTTCTAATAAAAGCTGTATTTTCTTTCTTTTTAGTCAATTAATCTATAAATTCATAGATTTTTACGGTGATTAGTTGTTAGTGCATTCTGTCATGAAAACTTTGTATATATATTGAGACTTATTTCTCTACAGTGAAAAGGATAAATTACAAATATATTAATAGTAATTTTCTTAATCACAGTGAGATCGTTGCACCGAGCCAAAGTCTTAACTCCGTCCGCTACTTTCATTCAAAACTCTTTTTTTTTTTGTCATAACTTTTGAATCACAGTGAGAACGTTGCACCGAGCCAAAGTCTTAAATATATATTGAAATTTTGAATTGTGAAGATGTGAACTTGATGAGCATGTTAAGAACTAACTCAAGTTATTGTGAATTGAACTTGGGTTGAGTTAAGTGCTTTTGAACCACAAAGAGGAGTGTCCACGTTGGTACAAATATTGTTGGTTCAAATGTTGGCACAAGATAGTACAGTCTTGTCTCCTTGTGCTTTGTCATTAAGGCTTGATTGGTGAAGGGACAAAACGCACATCAAGCGTTTTCAAGATGCAACCTTTAAGGTTTGCTTTTGCACATGAAGCCCTAGTTGTGTTGTCACTATAAAAGGTGATTTGAATTCATTTGAGAAGAAGAGAGAGCAAGAGAAAGCACAAGCAATGAAGATCTATGGAGTTAAGATCAAAAGGGGTGAGAGAAACATGTAAGAGTGTAAGCTTTGGGGTAGTGAGTGTAGTGAGAGTTTACGGCATTCACTTGTATTTCTTGTAGTCACCCTCTTTCTCTTCATAGTGAAGGATGTGGATCGAAAGATCCTAACCGGACGTAGCGGTTCGTTAACACCGTGAACCGGGTGAACAAATGCTTGTGTGCTCCTCTTCTTCCTTTCCTCTGCTCTGTTATATTTCTTCTTCTTCTCCATATTTTGCTTGCTCTGTATGTTTCCGTTTTGGTGTTGATGACATAAAGCTTGAGGCTTTGAGAGGTGTAAACCTCAACATGAATTGTTTTAGATGGATGGCCTCCAAGCACTAGAGATTAAGAGATGGATGGTAGAAGCGATTTTTTTTTTCTTTTCTTCTGACAAACGCATTATTCAAAAATCAAAATTACGTTGAATATTTTTCTTGTTTTGGACGTGGATCACATCACGCAACACTTTTGTACTACACTCTCAACTATGTGTATATAAGCTACAAAATGACCCCTTTCTTTACTAACTTATATACAATAAGTAATGTTTAGTTTAATGGTTTGATATCACTAAAAACTAGGAGAAAGAGAAGAAGGAGCGTTTGGCAGGAGGGCGTCCAACGGCTCTCATGAGATTAGCAACTTCAACTACTTTTGCAACCTCTGTCCCTCTCTTTGCCTCTGCCGTCGCTCTTCTCTCTTCTGCTTTCCTCTGTGCTTTCGCAACATTGTTTTGCGTTTTCTCCATCGCTTTTGCTTTTCTCTCTTCTAGCTTCCTCTGCATACATCAATCCCAAAGTGTTAGCTTAACTTATGCATACATGTCTCTATGTATACATTATCAATCCAACATGAATTCACCATTTAAGTTGAACCTACATTTTACAGAATATTTTTTGCTATATTATGAATATCGGAAAGGTAATATAATTTCACAATGTTTGAATAATTGGAATTAGATGACGATTGCCAATGTAAATATATGATACTATTTACAAGACAAAAAAAAAAAACATTCATTTGAAGATAGAATGTGAGATATCAAACCATCTCCCACCTAATTACATATAAATTATGCCACCACACCATATATATCTAATAGAGTTTATTTTCAAATGAGAAGCTTACGTTTGCACTTCAAAATGACACATTTTTATTCTACTATCACATGGTTTAATTAATATATATATATTAACCAGCTTACCAACCCAATACAAATTCATGGCTCAAATCAAAATCTGAGTTAGTAGTAAAAGAAAGTAGATGACAAAAAAAAAAAAAAAAAAAGAAAGTATGTTACTAAATTAATCATCGTACATAGAACCGGAAAAAAAAAAATCACCTCAATTTTCTTCATCCAAGAATTGGCCTTGTGGACTTGTTCATTAACCCAACCGTTAATAACGGTGTCTTCCCTCTTAAACCTGTTATTGATCTTTGCCAATTTTGCCGTCTGCCACGCCGTTATCTTCGCCTCAACCTCTTCCCTCTTCACTATTTGCACTGTCATCCCAACCCGACCCTGACCCGGCCCAATCTCACTTCCATGATCCAAACCCGAACCCGGATACTGGTCCGGAACGATTGCCAAAGGGTTCGTCTCGTCTTCCTGATCCCTCTCCTCGTGGATCCTCAACAAGTCGTGTTGTCTCTCATCTTCACGCTGCGTGACGTCACGAGCCGTTGGTTCGTTGTTTTCCATGGAGGAGCCGGCGATGACTAGAGCGTTGAACTCTCTGCTTATTGTTGTGAAGTTTTCGCCGGAAGAAGCTCCTTCGCTCATGGTCGTTGTTGAGCGTGGAGGAGAAAAATAGCCTCGGAAAGCAGGCGGTGGAGGCAACGTCGTCGCCGTCATCGTCCGGGAATTATCCTCCGGAGCTGGAGTTAGCGCGTGGATGTCTCTCACCACAGTCTCCGTCGTCTCATCATCCTGGTGGTTACTTGTGGCGTCCGGTGACCTTTCATGATGGTAAAGAGTCAGCATAATCTGAGAATTAGGGTTTTAGGAACTGTGCTCGTCAAAAAAGAAGAAGAAGAAGATCATGGTCTGATCAAAGTAGTTTGATCTCTTCTGATATCTCGCGAAGCTAAATAGGTTTTGATATTGGCTTTGTGATTTTGTCAAAGGTTTTAGTTCCGACTTTAATTAGATTTAGAGGAACAATATCACTACACGACAAAAAGGATTAAAATGTAGAATTCTCAAGAAGGTGATAATTTTAAAATATGACAACGGACCACCACTTTGTGAAAACTACGTTGGTCCGGTAAAATAGCGACTGCTTTTAACCTTCGGAGACATGCCTGTTTATGAATGATTAGCTAGAGACAAAAATAATGCGATCGACTAAATTTTTCACATTTTTCAATCTAAAACCTTGCGGTGATTTCTAAAGGGCAAAACAAATGTGGTTTTAAATTTTATAGTTTTTTAGAAATATTTAATGGAATGTTAAAAAATAAAATGTAAATTTATGGGAGCAACTAAAATATTAAGAGCGAGTGTCGGCAAGCTTAGACCCTACCACGAAGACAAGATTAATACACGAGCATGTCGCCTAAAAAAGATTGCTGTCGACGTGGCTATATTTGATTAGTTAAACATCCCGCCATACTGAGTCACGTATGTCAGCATCATAAAATGAATCTAATGACTTGGAGATACCACTTGTCCACGGCCACGTATTTGATGTCACGTTTGAGTGTATTTGTATTTTTTCTGAGAAGCTTGGTAGTGATATTAGCAATTTGTTATATCTGTCTGCTATGTCTTTTCATTATATATATGACGTATTATCAACAACATATAAGTTTTGAATATCCATACATATTAGTTACTTTTAATATACGTGTTTCATTTTCCGACGAAGGGCACATATAAATCACAACCACTCAGAAGTTTCAGTGAATAGTGTTTATGTGGTATGATTTGATCGGTCTAATACAACGGTTTACGTTGTAGAGGTCAAAAATATTGAGTGGTTGGCTTTCAAAATGTTGAACTCTGCGGTCGTTTCTTGTATGCTGAACGTTTTAAACAATGTGACACTCCACGCCTCATCTTTTTTTTTTGTTTTTCTCCACTTTTTATCTTGATATCATGAAAACCTATGTTCACCCTGCATGGTGCTGGTGCTGGTGCATATTCTATTAATGGAGTATATATATTTATTAAGGGACTATATTAACTTTGTTAAGCTAAGCTATTGAGCGTATCCGACATTGAGTTCTAATTTAGATCCAACCCTAAAAGGCTAAAATATTTTTTTTCCATCCCAATACCTTTCCCTTTTTTTTTTTTTAATCTGCCATCCACATTGCCTTTTATGTTTATAATTTCATACAAATCAAACATTCTACACATATATAGTTGGATCGCCCTTAAAAATCACATATTTGGATGGCCCTTTAAGGCCCGTCATCTTCGATAATTTGTTTGCCATCCAAAAGTATTTTGTATTGTGGTTACTAGCTAACCCGAAGTTATTAAACCTGAATAAAAATGAGCATCCGTATTGATTCATTAAGCAGACTTTATTCCAAAATGTTAGATCTTCAGGCAACTCTTGCTATTTGATATCCTCAATTGTCCCCTTCCATAAGAAATCACTATGTTTAATGTAGCAATGCATTTCTTTGGAGAAATTTAGCAACTGAGGTTTCCCTGCAAAAGTGCAAACGATACTGTTTTGGCAGACCAAATCCCTCCCCATCTTCTTTTTTTCTTCAATCGAACAATTCATTGTGTAAATGGTGTTATATAAGCTTGTATTTGACGAGAGTAGAATTTTGAGATTCAATTTATACACAGAATGAGAAAAATGTGAGTACATGAAGTAGATCCACCCATTAAGCATATCTCTGTTCCCATAATTTGAAGCATTCAAACTTGTTTCTCCTTTACAATAATATTGTTTTCATTGTGACCCAATCATGGAAGGAATAATCAATCGTTGTTGGTGAGAAATGAGAACTTAAAAGGAGTCACGTATTCTTATCCAATCACATTTAGAGCTGTCAAAAATGTTCAAATCAGCGGGCCAAATTCGATCCATTTGTCAAGGAGAATGGACATGGGTGCTAAAATATAAATCCTTAACATTAGTCGGTGCATCTTTTTCTTTGATAATGTAGTCGGTGCATCTTGCCATCATATATATCAAGACGTGTCGTTCCCTTATCATTTGATATTTCGTTTCAGAAAATAAGTTTTTACTAACTGAGAAACATTCGATCCTATCTGACCACTTTTATTATTTATCAAAAATATATGGTTGTAAATCAAAGTGATACAATAAAAACATTAATGAAGTTCTTCTTTGTTTCAATGTGTACATTAATAACACAAACCATTATTCATATGTGTTTCAATGAAGTTCTTCTTTTCTTATCAAACATTTCTACCAAAAAATAGACATAAAGAAAAATGACTTAAAATTGGCACTATCTAAAAGACTAAAATACGTGCATGCAAGCAAATAGACATTAAATACTAGTATAAAAACTAGACCGTAATCTTTGCAACCCAACTTCATTTCAACGAAAAGTCAAATTTGTCACAATTATTAGATTAAATCGCATATTAACAAAACTAATACTTTGACAAGTAATAAAATAAAAACAAATTTAAAAGAGCCACCTCTTGACTCTGAGTCTCTCTCTCTCTCTCTCTCCGACCTATATATTTTTTTTAATAACAAGGACGCGCCACCGAGAGGCAGAGGTTTGCCTACACCGAGACTCGATCATCTCCAAGTTGTCTCCTTTTATAATCCATCCACACATTCATACGACAATGGATTAGAAATCGAGACAAATCTTTGGAGAAAATCGAATCTTGTTATTGCAATAAAGAACTCAGAAACTTATTTCTCCTCTAAAACTTTTGAATCGATTCCTGCAATCCCAGAAAGTCTTCGTCTTTCCCCTGTTTCTGTTGTTCATACTCGAGGTACTTGTTTGATTTTGCTTTTTTCCCATTGATACCTTTTGTGATGTTCGATATGTGTGCTACGTTACAGATTCTGTCTGTATTTCCATGAATTCTGCATTTGGGTTTTGACTAAAGTGTTTCATTTTTTTTCTTGATGTGAAACCAATTCCTTGAATTCTTGTTGAAAATTAGATAAAGATTTTGTTTTTATTTGATCTCTTATATACTATGTTTGTAGTGCCATTGCTCAGGCTGTGTTGTTGTTCTCCTTGGAGGCATAGAATCTTTCTATGGTGAGCCTCTTCGGCTAATTCACTCCCATTGCTAGAGAACTCTACTTTTTCAATGGATGGTTGCTAAAGTTATCAACTTTTGATTCTTACTTCAATAATTTCTTCTATTGATAGTTTTTTTTTTTTATATATAATTGTTGTTGTTAGGGAGAAGCTCCAGCAATTTCAGTGGATCATCTGGAGAACGGACACTTCAATGGCGTCTGTGTGAAATCTGCACCCGAGAACATTGAGATATCAGTAGATGCCGGCGATCGAACTGTAAGTCCACTTAATGTTTTGATCAAAATCTGTTTAAGGTGACTGATAATTATCTGATTGAGATTTATCTTTTGCAGTTTTTGATCGGTGGAAATCATGAAAGGAACAATCTTTCCATTGGGGTTCAGATTTATGACAAAATCATTAACAACTGGTGGGTGAATGTTATCTAGATTCTATAATTTTTGTGACAAGAATTGTACTTTAATGTTAGAGGAAATCTTAAAGATTTGGGAATACTTGATGTTGTAGGTTTAGTCCTATTGTGCTTGGGACAGGTCCTAAGCCCAGCCAGGGGTACTCCGCGTTTGTTCTCGAACAAGGTCGGATTTTGGTTATTAAGAAAGGTTCACCTCGAAATGAATCCATCTGGTTCCTCGAGGTTAGTAGTTTTTTTGCAGTAATGTAAGATGTTTGAGAGTATCGGTTTGGAGTTCTCATGTGTTGGAACATTAATAGGTAGATAGTCCATATGTGCGGGAACAGAAGAAATTACTAGGGAAGGAAGTTGTTGCGTGGAGTAAAGGTGTGAGAGGCAATGCCGAGAAGCCTATTGTTATAAGCGGTCCTTCTGGAGTTGGAAAAGGAACGCTTATATCAATGCTTATGAAGGAGTTTCCTTCAATGTTTGGGTTCTCAGTGAGTCACACAACTCGATCTCCAAGGTCTATGGAGAGAGATGGTGTTCATTATCACTTTGCTGATAAAAAAGTTATGGAGAAAGAAATCAAAGATGGAAAGTTTCTTGAGTTTGCTTCTGTTCATGGTAATCTCTATGGAACCAGTATTGAGTCCGTTGAGATGGTAACAGATTCAGGAAAGGTATATAAGAAAGCTTTTGGATTAATCGATGATGCTTTCTGTGCATTTGATCCTTAAAATACGAGTTTCTCTTTTTGTCGACACAGAGATGTATTCTAGACATTGATGTTCAAGGGGCAAGGTCTGTGAGAGTGAGTTCTCTTGATGCCATATTCATATTTGTTTGTCCCCCTTCAATGAAAGAGCTTGAAGATCGGCTCCGTGCTAGGTAAAAATCAGGCTTTTACAATATGAGTTCTTGATATCTTTCATAACAGTATCCTGGGAGTTCATTATCAATTCAACTTCTTAAAAAACAGAGGAACCGAGACAGAGGAGCAAATTCAAAAACGGCTTAAAAATGCTGAGGCAGAGATGAAAGAGGGGATATCCTCGGGCATTTTCGGTCTTATTTTGTATAATGACAACCTTGAAGAGTGCTACAAGAAGCTCAAGGTGAACCGCCTTTTGTTAATTGCTCAAAATGTTGTCATGTTCTGAATGCCTAAACAATACCAGCTCTGTTTCCAGAAACTCTTGGGGCTAGATGGAGTCACTTCTGTCAATGGTGTAGAAAGTGAGAAACTGAACATCATGCATAGAGTTCTTTTCCATAACAAGATAAATAACTGAATGTGAGAACTAATTGCTTTTGTCATTTGTTTCATTCTGCAGTAGAAGGGATCAGTCTTCCCACCGAGCACACAGTATCTAAAATGGAAGATAAGATCATTATTCAAGAAACAGGAAAAGAAACAAGGAACAAGTAAGTAGCTAAGAAGTAATGTTCTTATGTTTCTGATAATCTCTCTCTGAGCTTGTAAAAGTTATAATTTTAAATGATGGTATGCAGGATTGTATTGGATATATCTTCTCTTAATGGAGGAGCACCGGGTAGA